TTAACCATTACTAAAAAAAAAACGATTCTGAGCGGAGTTCGATTGGTATTGCTGCTTTGTCAATATTATGATAAAATAATTACATAAAATTATATATTTTCTTTAATAATATTTGTTTAATATTGTACCTATTTTCCTGGTTTTCTTCCGTATTTCCCTATTTATTGTATAAATTTCTGGAAAAATCAAAAAATGACCTCTTTATTATACCTCCCCAGTAATATTTCCTTTTAGAAAAAATGCTACAATTGTAAATCGGAGAAAAATTGCTGGTAGAAAAGTTGTCTATAGAAAAAAAATAAAATAAACATCATTGTAAAACCATAAGCTTCTTCACTCCACTCACAATCTAAAAGGGGAAAAAAAGTATCCTCTGGCCGTAAAACGGACACAATCGGCCGCAGACCGGCAGCCAGCGACTGCGACGGTTATTGTAGGTCGTGCGGGTACGTGTCAAGACGTCGTCATCGCATTAAATTGTACAATAATCGTTATAATAATAATATTATAGTAATGCGATATCGTTGCTCTAACCGTCGTAAATTTAAAACATGCGCGCGCAAAAACAGCATATTAAACTGACATATCAATATTGCTCTCGAGTACAATATTATTGTCGTTTATCGCGTGCGTGTAAGGTACGCGTCGGACAAAATAACAATATTACACCCGAGGGTTATAACGCGTTAAAAAATAAAATTATATGTGTGTACAGGGTGTTCCGTTTTAATATGTGTCTACACTAGATGTATCAAAAAGTGTTGACTTTTCAAACACTTTTTAGTTTTTTAACATTTAATAAATGAGCACTTTAAAAATATACAGCATTACCGTTATTTTTTGAAGCGCTAATAATGAAGCCTCCACCCAAACGATACTCCGCCGCTATTCACCTGCTGCCTAAACTCGAAAACCGAATTTATTTAAACTAATACTCCATACGTCCATGGACTATTCTTTAGTACAAGTCGCCATTTGAAAAATCAAAAGTTGGCAGATAGTCGTTTTATCCATGAAAATAAGTGCGACTTAAAATAATGGGTAAAGTTTTAGAGCTGCTTTAGCTTTAGATTCACTAAATTGTAAACAAAAAATAATAATGTTGAAAAAAGTCGATACATTTCGAAATATCGAATGTTAACACTCGAATGGTTTACCCTGTACATATATACTATCGTGTGTGTGTGTATGTGTGTGTACTTACAGTAATATATTATAATACGGAAAATACCTATATATATGTATATATATTATTTTTTTTTATACTCGTTTATATTACAGCGTCGCACGTCTTGTTTATCGCCTCGGACGACAATCGAATCCGAACGGCGAGTAGAACAAAAAAATCTCCGCACAATGGCGACGGTGATTTTTGCATTTGGATCGGCCTGCATTCTCGTTTGTATAAGGTCGTCGCCGCCGCCGTCTCCTGGAATTTTGTGGTGACGGCTGCGGTGTTCGGGCCACTCGAGGTTTGATGCCGATAATAATAATGTAAAACATACACCGACGTGTTAATCCGGGAATCGAAAATTCGAGCCTAAAAATAATGTATCGTTACGGTTTGTACATAATTATTGGCCCGGAGAACGGGCCTATAGTCTGTTCAAACAAAGTATTGTGTTATTTTCTGGAAGGCTCGTTTGCGTTTGATTATTTTTTATGCGCTTAATTATAAACACGGTTTCCCGAGGTTACCGGGGGTTCTGAAGTATTTACCGGGCGAATTGACACCAACATATTATACTGAACTACGAACAGCAGTTGAAGTATAGATGAACTGCCAAGAATTAGAATTAGGGAATTGATGTTAGAACGCCGCGGAGCACAATATATAGTGACATTTCCTTGGCCGTCCGGTCAATCCGGTCAACTACCAAGTTGTTCCAGAGTAAAGTATTCAAGTAAAGTAGAGTACTTTTTCGTTTTGCGCTGTAAATATATGTATATTTATAATTTATAATATGCAGCACTCTACTTCCAACACAAGTTCTGCTTAAAGGAAGTAGGTATAATAATGTATATATATATAATGTAATATCGTTTTATTTCAAAAAAAAAATGTTATTGATACTAAAACGTCAATAACCGAAGTTCTTCATCTAGTTTTGTGGTTTGTTGCCGTATACAACACACGTTATCGAAAGAATAATCGATTTTAATTATGTGCAAATTACAAATAATTTTTTCTACTCACCGTATACAGGGCTTGAATCGGAAAAAAAAGGGGACTATGAGACATTACAAAAAAGTAACGTCTCTTGCAATGATTGATTTTAACTAAACCTGTGACGGGCTTCGCTCATCCCACACCCTACCTTACACTAATTTTAAAATAAATTCCATAATCATTAAACTACATTTAACACGATAATCCATAGAATACAATTATTTTAAAATTATTTTTAACAGTCATTATTAATTATTAATAATAGGGTTACATAATTAGATAACCAAGTTACAATTGGATACCACAAGTAATGGTCAGCACTCGGCTATAGTTCAGCTATAGTCAATCAAACTTATCAGTTATTACTTATTTTATCATACAAGGCCGTAACGTGTAATACAAAAAAAAAGATAATAATTTATTACTGGAAGATAAATTCTAAAAAAAAAAAATGCAAAAATACTTTATTTGTGTTGACAATAGGACAATAAATATTTGTTTTAAATATTATTATTTACTCAAAGAGATGTACCGTCCCTTTTTTCAAGTAGAAACAAATAGTAAGGGGACGCTAAAAAAAACATAATTGTAGAGGATTTCCGTTCCTTTTTGTCTCCCTCCCCCAATTCAAGCACTTTGTAAAATAATTATTTAATTAAGTTATTATTTATGATAAACCTAACAAAGGAGATGATACATTAAATATATATTAAAAAAAAAAATCTGGACATATACTTCGCATGATGGGTGAGCCATTGTTGTAGGTGAGGAGTTGGGAAGGTAGGATATATAGGGGAATTTAATTTATATCTCTACGCAACTATAAATTAATGTGAACGAAAAACGATTCAGAACGAAGTTTATTTTATACGTGTATGTAAATTTTCCCGTTTTTCTTGAGTTTTTTTCTGATTTTTCCCAAGTATTATGAAAACTACCGAGAAAATCAAAAAATGACTTCCTTAAAGTACCAAGTAGATACAATTTTATTTCAGAAAAGATGCTACACTTGATACATTAGGCAAGATTTCTGGTAAAAGAAAAATTTCTCACAGATAAAAAAAAATAACAATAAACATCATTGTAAAACTAATACACTTCGCTCAGAATCTAAAAATACAAATATCGATTAACATAATATTAAAATCTGATGAATGTATATTTTACTATTTTTATATAGGTACTAGGTAGATACGATTTAATTCTAGACGCAGCAGGAATACCCTATGCCAGCGGTCCCCAACCTTTTTAGTTATGCTGACCACCAATTTTGAAAAATATTTTGAGACCAACTAAACTAATATGCAAATATGACCAATATATATATTATACATACACATATTTAATGTGCATATTGCACATACGTCAGTAATTAATAAAATATACAGTGTTAAATTAAAATCAATGTAATTTTTGACATTGTTTTTCTCTCACAAAGGAATTAATATCGGTTATATTAAGTTTATAATATTATAATATATAGTAATATATAATATAATACAATATTAAGTTTATTGCATCGTGCCACACTCCACGCCAAGCATAGTTTGCAAAATACTATAAAAATGACAAAAATATTTTAGAATACTAGATAAGAAAACGACAATCAATGCGATAGAGATATTTATCTAATTATTAGTAAATCTCGATTGAAATATAGACTTTTATAATATAAAAAGTACAGAATTTGACAACCTTTATTGGCTTATACCCTCGACCAACATCCACCACCCAGTACCACATAGACGGACATACTTCGCACGGTGGTGCAGCCACTGTTGTAGGTGGAAATTTGGGAAGCTAGTAATGCATATCTGTAAGCAACGATAAACAATTGATAACGAAAAAACGATTCTGAGCGGAGTTCATTTGATAGTGTTACTTTTTCAACAATATATATGTCATATTTGATAAAATAATAATTAAAAATGCATTAACCGTTTTCTTTAATAATATTTATTTAATATTGTACATATTTTCCCGTTCTTCCTTTTTTCTCCCGTTTTTTTTTATCGGTTTCTCTAATATATACAGAAAACTCTTGGGCAAATCGAAAAACGACCACCTTAAAGTACCTCCCCAGTCCGATTTAATTTCAGAAAAGTTGCTACACTTAAATATCGGAAGAAGATTTCTGATAGAAAAGTTGCTCACAGAAAAAAAAACACCTTTGTAATAAGTTTTTTCACTCCATTCAGGATTTAAAATTGCCTTACTTAATGTACTAAGGTACGATAAATAACATAGAAAAACCTCTACAGGTAAAAAGTTGGAATTTGTTTTTCCAATGACTTACATTTTTGAAATACCTAGCTAAAAATCTATAATAAGGCTTAGGGTTTTGTCAATAAATTGTGTTATATATTTATAATTTATAAACAATTTATATTGTACAACAGAATTCTATTTGGTTTATTGTAAGGACATTTTGTCAGTTAATGTTATTTTATTTATGGCTTAAATTTAAAAAAAAAAAAAACTTAATAATAATAATATCCTTAAGGAAAAAATGTATTTTATTTTATTTTTATTGCAACCAATTTTTTTCAATTGCTTCACAGCATGAGGTTAATGTAGTTTTTATGTATAATTGTTACGTTTAGAAATTAAAATCATACAAATTATATTTAGTTTATTATTTTATCGTATAAATTTAAAAGTCGACGTAACGATAACGATATTACATTGTTTGCAATATTTTACATGTACCTAAAATACATCGAATTAAAAACAATTCAATTTTTCGTTAGATTTACTTAACAAAACGGTTTGCACAATATTACGCACAAAGTACCTACGTACATATTAATAACGAATATAAGAACTAATAATGCTCAAAAGACAGCCAATTTGGAATAGCTCAGACTACCAAGAGTTTAAATGTGCCAGACCGTTGGATTTTTCTTATAGGAATTTGGAATCACTTGACGGTACAGTATAATATATATAACTAAAGATCGTAGTTAAAAATTAATAGATATCATTTAAAGTAATTAAGTATAAATGCTGGTCGGACAAAGTTCTATATCGTTCATTGTTTGTGATTTTTTCGTACCTGACGTGTATCTATAACGTCTATAAAATTATTTAAATTATTATCAATATTTTTTTTCAGAACTAAACCGAAACGAAAAGACGTGGCCACTAAGTGTGCGAGGTACGCCGAAAAAAGGAAGACAAAGCAAGCGGTACAGGACTAGTTCGTTTTGGCTAAACAATAATCATTTTAAACATGTCAACGGCCTGAAGAATCTGACCAATATTCTTTTCGAAAAGACCGACTATCTATCGTGGTTAGACCTATCTAGTAACAGGTTAACTGTAATCAGTGACGTAAGTATAACACCTATTACTACCCCGGGCACCGTTTTTATGGAATTTATGAAAAATAATTCTCAAATATTTTACCTGTTTGAGTAATTTATGTAAACGTTGACAGGAATTTCTGCTATTCCCGAACCTGTCGATGTTGTTTTTACATCAAAATAATATCCAAAATCTTAGCGAAGTGTATAAACTGCGTAAGCTGAAAGAGCTAAAGACATTAACGCTGTACAACAACCCACTGTGCATGGGAATCAAATACCGCACCATCGTAATAAGAATGTTGCCCCAAATCCGGAAGCTGGACAACGTAGTAGTAGTGAGCTCGGAACGTGAGTCAAAAAAGCTGCTCGATAAGGACACCTGGTTCCATCTAAAGGAGGCGTGTCCAGAAGAATTCAGCAGGCAATTTAACAATTCTGGCGCCATGGTCAATCAGAAATTATTTTGAGAAAAAATGGAATTCTATTATTCGGGGGTATGATAATCCAGAAGTACGATTTGCCTGTTGCACCGGCAAATTTTGTTAAAACTTCATAACACGTTCAACAATTTGCTTCGAATACGTTACAATTTTCTACTGACTGGTTTTCCCTATAGACTAGAAACAAACGGTAAAATGCAACAAATTCGTACAAATGTTTTGATGATAAGTAGTATAAAAAGGGGGAATCTACGCCAGAAGCAGGAGCAAGGATCAAATGCTTCACCTAATACATGGCGGCCCGAATTGCNATTTGCCTGTTGCACCGGCAAATTTTGTTAAAACTTCAAAACAGGTTCAACAATTTGCTTCGAATACGTTACAATTAGCTACTGACTGGTTTTCCCTATAGACTAGAAACAAACGGTAAAATGCAACAAATTCGTACAAATGTTTTAATGATAAGTAGTATAAAATGGGGGATTCTACGCCAGGAGCAGGAGCAAGGATCAAGTACTATACTTAATACATGGCGGCCCGATTTGCCCACCACTTCATAGACCATTTAGATCACGCCTACTTTCGACATAATTACCACATTGTTATCATATAGGTAAGAAAGTAACCTTATTATAATTACAACTACTTTTAAGTATTATGCTACATTTATATAATCTTAATGGAAGGAGTTTTTTTTTTTAAATAAAAAGACAAAATTTATATAGGTAAATATTTATTTATTATTTTGAACAAAACAAAATATTTATACATATATTATACATTATTACACACAAAAAACCTGCCTCTTTATTTTTACTAGAAGTAGTTTTAATTCTATTCATCTTAATTTGTATCTTATAATTTAAATCTATATTAATATCTGACATTTCTTTCTCCAACCAGAAATTTAACACGTACAATGAATCCTGGTTATCGAACTGCAATATGTAACAAACTTTATTTCTGTAACGTATTTGTTTTATTCCAATTATGACTAATTCCGATTTGTCCGGTATTTCTTTTAAACGCCGACACTGTATAACCTTAACATAGCCATTTATTTCTTGCATGGTTATTTCTTCAATTTGTTGTATATCGTTTTGATTAAAAGGTAAATCATCCATATCTCGTAATATTTCCGAAAAAAATTGAACATTTTCCACCTTTGCGAACAAATTGCCATTGAATGTAATAACTCCATTAGTATTAAATATTATAATAGTTTCTTCTGTCGGGAGGACTATTAATACCATTTCGTTAAACGGAATTAAAACGTATCCTTCTTCTTTAAGTTTTTCTCTGGTGTTGTAAATATTTATAAAAAAAATGTTTAAAAGAGTCTTTTAAGAAGTATACACTTTTGGTCTCATCTTTTTCGGCCAGTACTCCAACGTAAGGGTATTTTCCTTTATTATTAACAGTAAAAACGGAAATTCGGTAAAAACCATCTGTATCAAAATTTTGCTATTTCTCATTAAAATAGTTTATTATTTTTTCTTTTAATCACGCAGCCCCGTGTTCTTTCTCTAACAGATGCATATGCTCTTCTTTAATGGAGATTGTCTTTGACAAATAATCTATTTTTCTTTTTTTCGTATTTATTTCTCCCAATTCTAACTTTCGTTTTCCCGCAGATGTTACGTATACAGACGAGAGAGGGTCTATTTCTTTTATTGTACACGGAGACAGTTTATTGGTTATGTTAGATCTTTTCGTTAGAATTTGGGGAATAACATTGTTAGTTTTGATCAATCTAGTGTCCTCGATATTTACTTCCTTCGAGATGGTGGAGAAACTAGTCCCGAATCTAGATAAAAACGTTTCGCCCGCTTTAATATAACATTTTTGTATTGTTGTAATGTTTTCGTTGTTTGCTTCGTTTTCCACGACTTCTATGCAGTTTATAGGTAAACAGATAAAACTATACGTAGAAAGAGTATATTTTATGATCTTATCTCTCTGTTCTCGATTATCGGACAATTTAATTTGTATTCCAGTTTTTTCGTATTTTTTCGTATTCGAATTGCCCCAATATACGTACTGCAAGAAATTATTAAACACGAAGCAACAGCTATTCAGTAAATTGTCTGTCAATTTCGTCGACATTTTAGCAATCGACACTGAATAAAACGGTGCATTTTGGAAATACATTTTACTATTTTCCAAAAACCTAAACAATTTTCCAGTGGTTTAAATACGTCCCTTGTCTTATAATAATCTTCAATAGTATAGTTATATATTGTCGCCCCCAGTCTTGTAATGCCATGCTCTCTCGCTGGATTAAAAGAAAATATTTCCTTTAGACGTGCATCTGGACAGTTAATAAAGTCGATAATATAGTTTCCGATCTGTTTGTTGACCCCAGAACTGGTAATTTGGCATACAGATTTGTTATACATTTTAACTCTTAGCCATGTTAAACAGTCTATACCAACTGTTTTGTTATTATCTAAAATTATATTGCTGCCGTCGTCGTAATCTCCTCCGTTACAAAAATTGTGATTGTCTGTTAGAAAACAAGTCATTTCCGTTTTATTAAATACGCCTACAAAATCCTAGGTAATGTCGAAATCCATAAGATAGTAATTGTCGATTCTAAACTGTACTAAAATATTTCTGGAAGTTTTTCTAACAAATCGCCCAATTTAACGTCTGCCAGTTCCACTTTGTACGGAATAGCTACAGGATTTTTATATTTTTTATTTATAATTTCCAAATCTTCCTTTTCAATAACTTGTACGATTCGTTGGCCCATTTTGTTCATATAATCCAAACGATAAGGTAATTTTGCTTTTACTCCGTGTCGGCTAGAAACGAATTTAGAAAATTTACCTCGTAAATAGCTATTAAATGATCCGCATATTTCTTTCTTTACTAGTATACTGTCTGGTCCTTTGCAATTTACAAAACCGGTCATTTTAACAAGCATTATATTATCGCAAAACGGATCTGCTATAGGAGAAAGAGTATTTGTATCCAGCAATTTCTCTCCTTTTGTATAGTTAATATTGCCAACATCGAAAACTAGGTTGTTATTGGCTAAATTTTCTGTTAGCAGCCATCCAAACCGCTCGTTCGTTGATTTTATTCGATTACCTAAAACTTGGGATAAACTGCAGATTTTTGTAGAGTTTATGTTCACTGTTTCGATTTCACGACTAAACTACAGTAAGAAATGATTTCCCTTATATATACATTATAAGGATAAAATGAGCCGTACAGCCATCGGGCATCTTCGATAACCGTTGGAATATATTCGGAGCAATACACACGTACGCATTGCATATTATTATAACTATTCTAGTTCCTCCTATTGGAAACTATAGGTTAAGTAAGAAAATGGAAATACACAATGTAATTTTAGGTTAGTTTACTACAGGTTTGATAAGGTTAGTTTAGTATAGGTTTGATTAGGTAAGTTAAGCATAGGTTTGATCGGAAAAATAAATATTTGGTCGTGTAAGATTAGGCAATACGTAGTCGATGTTTTTTTTTTTCCGAATTTAAATTATAAAATAAAATTTAAGATGGATAGAATTAAAACTACTCCTAGTAAAAATAAAGAAAGGCAAGTTTTTTGTGTGTAATAATGTACAATCTATGTATACATATTTTGTATTGTTAAAAAAAATAAATAAATAATAAATAAGTATTTACCTATACAAATTAAAAAAAAAAAACTTCTTCTATTAAGGTTATATAAATGTAGCCTAATACTTAAAAGTAGTTGAAACTGGGTAGTTGAAAGTATAATAAGGTTACTTTCTTACCTATATGATAACAATGTGGTAATTATGTCGAAAGTAGGCGTGATCTAAATGGTCTATGAAGTGGTGGGCAAATCGGGCCGCCATGTATTAAGTATAGTACTTGATCCTTGCTCCTGCTCCTGGCGTAGAATCCCCCATTTTATANTAGTCTATAGGGAAAACCAGTCAGTAGCTAATTGTAACGTATTCGAAGCAAATTGTTGAACCTGTTTTGAAGTTTTAACAAAATTTGCCGGTGCAACAGGCAAATCGTACTTCTGGATTATCATACCCACAGTACTAAAATCATATCCTTTATCTAGCTCCTAAGATTATGTTACTGAGCTTTGACTTTTCTAGAATAATCATTCCTAGGTATCTCAGATTTATTTGTTTTTATTTTACCTACGGAACATTTTATATAATACTGAAAATTGGGGGGAGTTGACGTATCCCTCAAAACTAGTTTGTAACTCAAAAGTTATCCAATCAAATTGAACCATTTATTTTTACTTTTTAGGTAGTTTGTTTTTGCTTAAAATAATACTGAAACCAACTGATATTAATTATCAACATAATTAAAAAATTTAATTCATAATTTCGTCCTATAATCCCGCTATCGATGGGACAATCTTCCCCCTTTTGAGAATTTTTGAGTTGAGATACTCCGTCCTCATGCATCCCCCCAACCCGAGTACTGTCTCCAAATAGAACATAATATTATCTACGATAGCCTTATCTGAACACTTGATGTGCATCATCGCAGAGTGAAATAATTTAGAAACACACTGCAACAGTTTTATTGAATATTAAGATTAAATCTAATTCTAATTTTACGTTAAAAACTCGTAAGAAAAAATGCCCAACAAATGACGATGAGAAAACAGCAGAAAATAGTAAACGAAAGTTAGACTTTCTAAGTATAACGTATTGTATTTTTATTATATACGAATCGAATATATCATGCGCGCGAATTCTCGGGATGCATTGTCTAAGAGCTCAATGGGAGGGGCGGTTGGAGGGTAAATGCACTTTCCATTGAAATCTTAGATAATATTATTATTACGGTGTGTCGTTATCTTTTTCCTCCGGCGACTATCGCCATACAGTAGGTACACCGCGAAAGGTCTCCGAACCGAGATTTTTTTTTCTTAGATCGTCGTCTAGTCTATGTTGTTATATTGTATACCGCGAATACCAATAACCCGGTAGTGGGTTTATCGGCGACGACGTTGTTGAGTTGCACGTGGCGCCGCCGCGTCATCGACCTGAAGACGATCGATCCGATCGAGATCGCGCGATGCGATGACAAGATATTATTATTATTATTATTATTAAATAGTATTATTATCGATCGCGTGAAATCACAATAGAATAATACCACGAACGTTCCTAGTTATAGCACAACAACAGCTATCGGAAACAATCGTCGGATTACAAGAGATAATAAGATATAATACGTATTTGGTATTTACTGTAATAATGTGATACGGGTAAGCCCCCCCCCCCTGACCCAATGTATTGATTTTCGTAACGCATATTTTCAACCTGCGCTATATTATTCTATAATAATATAGTAAACGGCCGCCTTTTCGTTTTAATACAATACGTTACGCGACGACGATTTTTTAATAATAGATACAGAGTGGTTTTTTTTCTTATCGCGATTCGCGAATAATTAAAACCTATTCACGAAGATTTCGAGCAATGTTGATTTTGGATTTTATTTTTTTAGCTGTCATGCTATAATACTTGGATTATTTTCAAAATGTTACTATTGTTTACACACAAAAACATTGTCGTATTTTCGCTCACGCGTTCAAACCGGATTCGAAAAGAAAATATTTTTCTACAAATGTCGAAACGCGCATAACGCATTTACGTCGTCGGAGTTACTCATTACAGTTTAAAATTCAAATCAGAGAACTTGCGATATGAACACGAAATATTATGTATTACCCTAAAAAATTTTTTTTTTTTTTTCAAAACTTTGTTGAAAAGAGGAAAACATCGATATTCATTTATGATTTAAAATACAAAAGAGTAAACCAGTTAAAATAAAACTTAAATAATAACATGTAACCATAATGATTGGACCAAAAACAAAATCAGAAATCAAATTTAATTCAAATTTTCTGAAAAATCGCTGGAACATTATAAAAATAAAAATCACCTTGTATATTCACGTGGCCCCAATTATTATTATTTCGATAGTATTCACTAGATATGTGACTGGTGGCTTAGAATTCGTTTCTGAGAATCGCGTCCGTATCAAATACAATTATATACCATCCAGACCAAAGCAACACTATAGGATACTTTTTAGGCAACATTGTATTTCGATAAATGTTTTCGACAAGTAAAGTCATAATTCGAAAAAAAAATCTTCAAACCAGGTCCATTTAGTGCGGCGTTTCTCAACCGGGGTTACGCGGAAAAAAAAGGTAATGACAGAAAAATTAAAATTAAATGTATTTTAAATGGTTTGTCATTTTTGTAAAACAGTTTAGAAGACTGGAACCGATGATTTTCTGTCTTTGTCTTATTCACGTGCAACGTAGGAGTTTAGACGTATTCTATTTCCAACGTACGTCCATTGGTCTAGTGAATTATGAAAACAGATTTGAATTTGTCGTCAGGTCTCCTATTAAAATAGACTTTCCCACGGTTTTTATTTTATCCCTTAAATCTTTAAAAAATTAAATGTTTAAATTTTTGGAGAAATTCGAATAAAAGTCGCAAAGTAGGAAAGTCGGATTCAGTTAGTGAACTTGACGCAAAATTCAAATCTGTCGTCAGAATTCGTATCGCATCACCAGACCTATCGGTACGTTGGTTAATAGAACATGTCTAAATTCTCGAGTCCATATAACGAGATTGACGAGAATCAGTGGTGAGAGATCCTTGGGCATGCGAATGAAAACATTGTTTGAAACATTATTTCGAAACTCAATTTCCTTCAATCTTTACCGCCTCCGGTGTAAAAACAAAATTTTGTTGCCCACTTAGTTAAAAATACTAAAGCCAATAACTTTTTAAAGAAAAAATCCATACGATTATACGTTCCTTTAATCTGAAAGTAATTTAATAAGCCAAATGCACGTGCCTGACACATAGAACACAATAATATTACGACGGTTAATAAATAATTATAATGATATTATTTTAATAATTTAATATCCGAGAAACTGTCGATTATTAATGTTCTGTATTGATCGATAGCTTTGCCGATAGCCGATAAGATTATTGTACACGTTTGCATAATAATTTTATTATAATCCGTTTAAAAACTATAATTAATTCGAGATAACACACACATATTTGAACCGAACCTGTAGTCTGTGCATTATATACTATGAGTCTCCCGATAAAACATTTGGACTTTGCATATTTTGGAACATATTTATTTTTTTAATTTTTCGTTATGTATTATATGTTTAACATTTTTTCGAAAATATAATATAACGCATAATGTCAAACAACATGGTATACGCGTATGTACAGAAAAAAAAAAAAAATACCGAAATAATTATTATTAGTATCATCGTCATAATAGTTATCGTCTACCCGAGTTGGCCACATAATTTGTTTCACAATAAAATACAAAAATAATTCCATTATTCATTGAATTTTACAAAGAATTATAAACATATACTTGAAAAAAAAATATATCCTCATAATAATATTTTTGTACAAACGTTTTTTACGTACAAACAAAAATTGAAGAGTACCTATAGGGAAAAACCAACATCTTCTCTTTTTTCAAACTGAGAAAAACGTGTTTTTAATTTCAAAACACAACAATTTTATTTTTTACAAAGTAAAGTCCGGATTATGTTTACCGTTAAACTTTGAAAACATAGTGACCAAAATCTAATCATGTCATATTATATTATTAACTTTGACTATAGCTGTGTATCACACTGATTATCAATTGTAGACTTACCTGGGTTTTTTTCCTTTAGTCCTTAAGCTTTTGGCGCTCGTTACTTTCAACTAATCTGGTTTTCTCACGGGTTTGATCGCATACAATTCACAGTATCTCAATAATAATTGTTTGATACCAATATCGCCATTTTAGAAAAGAAGTGACTTTTTTTTTTGTTTTTTTCTTGGGCCTTTCAATTGTATAGCTATTTTCAAAGCCAATAATAATTGTGAACACGCACGGAGAAATGTT